TGAATCACAAGCTGACTTTAAAAGTTGGTGGAATTTCAGGCTGTTGACATTTGGAAGCTGTAGCTCTTGGAGAGCCACTGAGTGTTTGGAGTCTTCAGGAACTGAACATCCACTTTTTCAGCCTCTGGTTTATTTCCTGTTGGGCACGTTTTTTTCTAGGGGGTAACTGAAAGTTGGCTTAAAAAACTACCACATGTTGTAAATGTTTTAAAAATAGCAAAGAGCTAGGAAAGTGTTGAAGAAAAATCTCTCTCACTCTCCAACCACAAAAACCTCCAGAATCAACCGAACAAAAAACACAACCCCCAACTCAGAATAAAATCAATCCCAAAACAAACAACAAAAACCCCTTGATTATTGTGAAAATATGTCCTGATTTTTTTCTCTTATAGACAAGATGTTGGTGTAAAATATCTGGGCAGGTACTCACTGAAATAACTCTGATAAACACCAGTATATCCACTTTAAATTTTTGATTACTATCTTTAATGAGTGTTTTGTTAATATTATAACTTGTCATATATTTCCTTCCAGAATAGAGAAACTAACCATTGAAAATACATCCCCTCGAGAGGCAAATAATATTTCAAACCATCGGGTGCTAATTAAACCAGAGGCACAAAACAACCAGAAAAACAAAGAAGTGAACAAAAATGAGGAGAAGAAAGCTTTGGAAGCCGAAAAATACGGATTTCAGAAAGTTGGGCAAGATAAACCATTAACAAAAATCAACAGTGTAAAGCTAAATCCGTTGGGATCTGAGTACAGGACTTTACCTATGAGCACCATTCAGGCTGGACACTACAGAGCAGTTCATCTGAATGGGTCTGAGGGTAAAGCTGTTGGAGTTGTCCTGGGGGACGTTGGCGATGGAGCTCACCACAACACGGTGCAGTCACACTTCGAGTCTGAACGAGTTATGCAGAGAACTAATTCAATGCTGCAGTTGGAACAGTGGATAAAAATACAGAGAGGAAAAGGACAAGAAGAGGAAACAAGAGGGTAAGTACATTGTAATAATTTTTTTCTGGGGGGTTTTCTAGCAAATAATGTTTAGATTCGTATCCTGGTTAGGTTCTTGAGTTTTTGGTCTGTATTGCATAAATACATAAGTCATAGTATCATAGCATGTTAAGGGTTGGAATGGACTTCAGAGATCATCTTGCCCCAACCCGTTGCCCTGGGCAGGGACACCTCCCACCAGAGCAGGTTGCTCAAGGCTTCATCCACCCGGGAATGAAACCCAGCCAGGATTGGGGCAGCCACAGCCTCCCTGGGCAGCATGTGCCAGTGTCTCACCACCATCACAGGAAAAAGACTTCTTCCTAATATCTCATCTAAATGTCCCTCTTTCAGTTTATCCCCATTACTCCTTGTCCTGTCACTCCGGTTCCCAACAAAGAGTCCCTCTGCAGCTTCCCTTAGCCCCTTTGGATACTGGAAGTTTGCTGTGAGGTGCCCACACAACCTTCTCTTCTCCAGGCTTCATCATTCTCTGTAAGAAGTGCCTGGGTGACTGCTCAGAACAGGTTTACTAAAGTTTCTCTCTTATTAACATTTGAGTGATTATTAATCAATTAAACTATAGTAACTCAATAAATAAAACCAGCCAGAAACCCTTTTTGGGTGTTAGAAATGTCTCTGTCCTAGCAGGGAGAAGGTGTCATCAATCATAACGATTCCTTTTCCTCTTCAAATCTCTGCTTGAACTTGCCCTGTCTTCTACGATTTTCTGTCCACAGATTCTTGTAATAATATTTTATTTCAAATTCTTAAAATATATTCCATGGAGCTTATAAACTTTAAACAAGCTTTAACTTAAGAGAGAGAGCAGCTTTACCTATGAGTAAGACACAGAAATCTAACTTGATGCTTAAATTTTCTCATGAAATTAAATATCTCCCAGTTATAATATTGAGTTTGAGTGCTTATTCATGAGTGTGGATGATTGACAATATTGAATGTCATGCCAATAGCAATTTCTGTGTCTGACAGAAGTGTAGGGACGTTGCTTCCAGGCTGCCTTGCAGACAAGCAGCTCTAGCAGTTAAATATAAATGTTTTTAATATTACATTTGATAGGAAGTATGGAGATACTATCACAGGGGATATTTGGAAGACCTGGAAATCAAGAAATTTGTGTATGGATAGATGGCAGAGCAGGGCTGAAGATAGAACCAAGTCCCATGTGTTTTCCTCAAATCTTCAAATCTGGGGTTGGGGCTTTTCAGTTTTTTCCAAACCGTGAAAGGTTTACATTAACTCAATTTCCACTTGCCAAAACTAGTTGAACATTTCCTCATTGCCTTTAGTCCTTCATTAAATATAATTAGGGATTGTTAATGTGCTGTTTCATGAAATCCTCAGCACAAGTAGTTTGATCAAGTTTGAACCTGCAGTGCAGACAGTGACTTGCACACCCTGACATTTGTGTGGTTCTACATGTTTGTCTGAAGACAGCAGAGAAGGTTCTTTGATGCAGTCAGGTTTTTAATGGGACTGTAAAACTTGCAACAAAGCAGCAGAAATTAGAAAAAAACTGTCCAATTTTTCAATTGTGAACAACTGTAAACCCCCTAAAACTGATTTCATGGCGGGAATCAAATACAGGGAAGTGCTATTAACAATATGTTACTAATGAGCAATATCTTATTCTTGACTATAGGAAACATTTGTCGCTTAAAGAAGGGTGGCAGTAGTAGAAGAAAGGGTGTGCTCTCAAATGCAGTTCTACAGAAAAGTAGCAAACTGAAAAGTAATTGACCTTGAGCTATTTTTCTGTGCTTTGTGTAGAAATAGCTTTGAACGATGATCCAAGTTTCTAATGTATGGAGTGATGTCTTTTGAATGTGGCTTCATTTAAGCTCTTTATAAATATATATAAAATTGTTCTTGATTAAATCTGAATTATTTTTGTTCCTGGCTAGAGACATAAATTTGAGTAGAATCAAAGTTGGTGAATGAGAGTGGAAAGAAGCTCCAGTACGTGTTAAAGCTTAAGGTTGGGGTGAGAGGCTGCTAAGGCTGTTTTGTAGTAAGAACTGTTCTACTCATAACTTGAATTTTTGACAAAAGTCGTCTTCACTTAATGGAGTGAAGTTGCTGACTTAACAAAGCTGCACCTGTCTCTCTGATGTACCAGAGAAATCCTTGAGGACCAAGCTGAGAGCTTTGTCAGACTGAGGAAACAAATTAGGACTTCAAGAATTCTCAGTTCGTAACAGGTTCAATTAAATAACTGTTTATAAAATAGAAGCTGTTAGCTCTCCTCAATATGGAATGGAAAGGGTTTCTTATAAAACTACTCATTTTTTAGAGGAACAGGCTGACCCCTTTGTGGTTTGCCTGAGAACATAATGAAGATGATGGCAATATAGTTTTTAATTCTTGAAGTTGTTACCTACCATTTCCATCAATCCAGACATCTAGTTTTGTGAAAGCACATGAATAAAGACAACTGCTGCCTTGAGGAAGACAAAACCCTCTTTTTTTAAACAAAAAACCCAAATGTGGTTTGAATTAAAAATAAACACATTCCACTTCAGTATTGAATTAATTTTGCGTAAGTCGCTTACGAATAAATGTTTTCACCCAAAGTGGTTCTCTTGAAGTGTGAAAAATGACAGAAGGGTTGTGTGGTACTGAGTGAGGTGTTTTGTTGCTGCTAGCCCAGGATGTGAGCCTCTGTCTCTCACCCTGCCCATATAAGCCTCATCCCAAAGAATGCGCCAGGTTTCCATCTTCACTCTGCCACTCTTGGCTTCGTTCACACATGGAAGTTGTGTTTCCTGGGCCAGCTGGTATTTGTGATCTTTACGCTGAAGGACTGCTGCTATTTGTGTTCTTTAGGCTGAGGACTGCTCTGAGGTTTCAGCCTGACACTGCAGAACTGAGCCCCTAAAGGTTTAGCAGCAAAGTTGCTTTCCCAGGTAGTCCAACTTGGATACCAGAACCAGTATTGCTACCCACCAGTAATCTTAGAGACAAGGTCTAGAGGTGTCTATAAGGAATCTTATACAAGGACATGCAGGAGACTTATTTTTCATGCAGGAACATTTGTAGGGACCTATTTATGATGACAGTTTGCAACCTCCGACCTGGCTGCAGCAGTGTCCCCTTGTGTGCAGGACAGCTGGAAGCTGCAGGGATGTCTGCAGTTGGGTTTGGGATTTGACTGGAATGACATTTTTGCAAGTATCAACAGTACATTGGTGACTCTGTTTTGATTTTATTGATTTATGTAAAACAAACTTAACACTGAGGCCATTGGGCTTTTGACAGTTTTCGTGGCTTGCCAATAGAAGATGGATTATGTTATCTTTCTAAGTGTTCTAGAATAAAGTAATTACATGCAGAATTTAAATTGTGAAAGCTTCAGACAGCTTTTCTTCAAGTTGTTCAGGATATTTAAAGGAGCCAACAGGATTACACTGCCCATTTAATTAGTCAATGGGAGAGGAGCTTCAGTGAGTGAGGAGTGTCTAGCTACCAAATGCCTTCATGTAAATCTCAGGCTTCAAAATAGCTACAATTATATTTTGGGAGTCAGAAATGGAGCTCAAAAGCATCTTGTTTGTTTGCTTTTTAAATATGGAGAAAAACCTTATTATTAATGGTATGTTACATGAAGAAATTTAGTGGTATTTAAGTAGGTCTTGCAGCAAAAGAAGGGCCTGGAATCCCTCTCCCCTTTTATAATTCTTTTTTTTTTTTGTGAGAATGGAAAGCTGGCCAGTCTACAACGTGGGGCTAACACTTCATTAGTTCTTGAAAAGCTTCAGAAACTGTAGCAGATTTTGTATGCAAAGCTCTTTACAGCAGTTTTCATCTTAAATGTTACAGGTGAGCATAAATACTCAGCTTAACTACTTTCAGTGAAAAGTGGGTTTTACCATCATCAGTTTCCTTGATAGCTATTCCGTAAGGATTTAACATGCATTTCTCTCATGTGTTTTGTGGCACTGGAGTAATTCAAAACCATCTTCAGGTTCTGGTGCTGGTGGTGCCAGGGATTTTTAGTCGGGATCAGTGTGGGGTGTAGCTAGAAGCTGCTGCCCTCTGATGGCTAAATCCCATCCACTTTGAATCAGTTTTGCTGCCTCTGAGCAATCATCTATCATATATGTGATTAGTAGCAAAAGGTTTAAGAGGTGCTCATTTGCATTTTAGATAAGGGATGAATGAATCAATGTTTGACCTAGATTTTGTCCTCTACAGAAAAAAACCCAAGAAATGCTTTGTCATGCTCAGACATCCATCGATACTCAGGATGGAAAATTTTGCATTTCAGCTAATGCTCAAAGTTGCTAAATGACTGGAGCACTCCAGAATTTTAATGTGGCACCAAATGAAAGGATAAACCTTTGAATTCATATCTGAATTGAAAAATAATACAATATTATTATCAAACAAATATTTTGCTGTTTGTTTTGCTTGAATAGCTGATATGGAATGGCTTGTCCTTTGAAATGGCAAAGTGTAATCTCCTTCAACAATTACTGCATTTTTTTCCTTGGTTTGCTGTTAAAATAATTATAATTATTTTTATGTCCGTAGCAATGGCTCGAGATTTTCTTAGGAAAACAACAGGCTATTTTTTCACTTCTGAAAGAGAGAATATTTCAAATGAGTGTGTGGAAACTGTATAGAACTTTAAAGCTTGAAAAGCTTTGACCTATCCAGCATATAGATAAAATACAAGATGTGGTCGAGACTTGACATTACTAGACTGGTATTAGAGTATGTTAGGGAGTTGGAATGGACTTCAGAGATCATCTAGTCCCAACCCCCTGCCCTGGGCAGGAACACCTCCCACCAGAGCAGGTTGCTCAAGGCTTCATCCAACCTGGCTGTGAACAATGCTGGGGTTGGAGCATCCACAGCCTCCTTGGGCAACCTGTGCCAGTGTCTCACCACCCTCACAGGGAAACATTTCTTCCTAGTATCTAATGTAAATTTTCCCTTTTTCAATTTATACCCATTGCTCCTTGTCCTATCGCTCCAGTTCTTAACAAAGAGTCCCTCTGCAGCTTCCCTGTAGCCCTTTCAGATACTGGAAGGTTGCTGTGAGGTGCCCACACAACCTTCTCTTCTCCAGGCTGAACAGCCTCAACCTTTTGAGCCTATCTTTGTAGGGACGGTGCTCCAGTCCTCATCAGCTTAATGGCCTCATCTGGACTTGCTCCCACATGTCCACAGCTGTTGGAGCAAGTGTCCAACTGTGGTAAACTGGTAAAAAGATAAAATATCAAGAGCTAATCAGGGAGAGAATCCACTTTCAACTGCTATAATGCATTCAGTCATAGAATCATAGAATCATAAAGGTTGAAAGAGACATCTAAGATCATCCAGTTGAACTGTTAACCTGTTACTCTCCTATAACCCCTAAACCATATCTTCCAGTGCCAGATCCAGGTTCCTCTTAAACACTTCTAGGGACGGTGACTCCACCACCTCTGAGCAACCTATTCCAATGCCTGACCAATATAGCTGATTCTTTAATTATCATCTTGATTTTCTTGTATGTTTTTTAAATGGCAGTTGTAGTACTAAAAAAAAGTATGAGTTGGATAGACCTAATGAATATTGCAAACCTTTACATTGCCATGATTTAACACTGTCCATTAATAAAGAACAAATTTGTGTTTCAGCATCATCTCCTACCAGACATTACCCAGAAACATGCCAAGCCATCGCCCTCAGGTTCTGCCTCGGTACCCAGAGGGCTACAGAACACTGCCCAGGAACAGCAAGGCACGGCCAGAGAGCCTGTGCAGTGTGGCACCATCAGCCTACGACAGAGCCATGGGGCCGGTGACAGCGGAGGACAAGCGGCGCTCGATGCGCGACGACACGATGTGGCAGCTCTACGAGTGGCAGCAGCGCCAGTTCTACAACAAGCAAACAACTCTTACTAGGCACAGTACTCTGAGCAGCCCCAAAACCATGATTAACATCTCGGATCAGACAATGCATTCCATCCCCACCTCACCCTCTCATGGTTCCATTGCTGGTTTCCAAGGGTATTCCCCACAACGCACCTACCGGTCCGAGGTGTCGTCACCGGTGCAAAGGGGAGATGTCACTATTGATCGCAGACACAGGACACATCATGCTAAGGTGAAGAGACTTAATTTAATAGTTAAAAGTATTATTTGCAAGGATTTTTAGTAGAAAGGATATTACTGTAAAACTTGTGTTGTACTGTAGTATATTTAGTATAACAAAGATTAAGTTTTCATGCCGAAAGGTTTGATTTTTTTTTTTTTTTTTAAGTGTTTAAAAATCTAAAGATGTTTTTCTAAGACTTGGTGAAAACATGTTGCCCTAATATTCCTATCCATGATACTACATTTCTCTAAAGAAAATAAAAAGGAGTAGCTCCAAGGACTCAAAATCCAAAGCTTCTTTCCACATGCAGTTTTCTATTCCTCAGCCACAAGTTTGGCTGCCTTGGGTTCCAGAATAAAACCAAGTGTATTGTTTCTTTTTATGCCTTTGAGTTATTAGGGAGATAACACTGAAGGTCACAGTCTAAATGAACACAATCTTAGTGCTTGACTAGTGTTAACTCTGCTGCTCTTTACCAGCAAGAGGGAGATATGAGGAGTTTAAACTTGGGTGCTCTATGTGGCTCTGCTATGTCCATCAGGCTTGTGTTATCTTGGTGGTTAATAGATTGGAAACAATGACAAAAAAGTTATCCTTTCAGTTGGATGTAAAATGCTCCTGAGCATTTTTCCACTTTTATTTCAGGTGACTTTGTTGCTTGATACAGGAAAGAAAATCTATAACTGCATCTTAAAGCAATTTAAACAACTTAGAGTTGATTTGAGGTTGTTGGGTTTGAAAGTTGAGGTCCCTATCAAGAAAGGAGTCATTTTGTTTTGACATCCTTTATGTCTCAACTGCTCTGGCAATTTAGGAATCACTGTCTGTTACACATCTGAGAAATACCACTAGGGTCAGTGCAGCAGAGCATGTGCTTACGTGTCCTTTCAGCCACGTTTTGCTTGCTGATCTTCTTTTCCTTGTTAAACAGTTGATACTAGCATTTCACTTCATATTTAGTGTCTTTTATACCAGTCTCCTCTTTCTCTTTGGTTTTTCATGCTCTTTGGTTTGTATTTCATTAGTTACACAAATAGCTTTTGCAATTAACTTAAAAATACAGACCCGTTTTGTAGAGATGGGTAATTAAGAGACTGATTATTTGAAATCAGTAGGATAAATATAAGATTGAAACAGCATCTTAGTATCATTGTATGTTAAGGCGTTGGAATGGACCTTAGAGATCATCTAGTCCCAACCCCCTGCCCTGGGCAGGCACACCTCCCACCAGAGCAGGTTGCTCAAGGCTTTATCCAACCTGGCCTTGAACACTGCCAGGGTTGGGGCAGCCACAGCCTCCCTGGGCAACCTGTACCAGTGTCTCACCACCCTCACAGTAAAGAATTTCTTCCTAATATCTAAACTAAGTTTCTCCTCTTTCAATTTATCCACATTACTCCTTGTCCTATCATTCCAGTTCCTAACAAAGGGTCTCTCTCCAGCTTCCCTGCAGCCCCTTCAGATCCTGGCAGGTTGCTATGAGGTCCACACACAACCCTCTCTTTTCCAGGCTGAACAGCCTCAAGTTTCTCATCTTATCTTTGTAGGGAAGGTGCTCCAATCCTTTAACCAGCTTCATGGTCTCATCTGGACTTGCTCCAACAGTTCCATGTCCTCCTTGTTCTGGGGACACCAGAACTCTGTGCAGCACTCCAAGTGGGGTCTCACAAGAGCAGAGGGAGAATCACCTCTTTACGTAGAGATCTTAATGTTTTCAGTGGCTTTCCATGACAGGTGAAAAATCAAAACGTTTATTTACAGAGATTATCAGGGCAACAATAATGAGGGAGGACTGTTAATGAAATGAATTATGAAATCCGTGGTCCTTCTAAAATTTACAGGTAGACTACTAGAGTGTCCTGGGTAGTAGATCAGCAGGGAGCATGACTGGCCCAAAGAATAGAATTTTCATGGCTGAGAAGTTGACTTGACTTTTTTTTAGCATTTAAAAGTTTTTGAGTCTTCAGCAGTAACTGTGGCTCATACTGTGCTATTCTTTCTTTTGTACAGCATGTCTATGTGCCTGAGAGAAGGTCGATGCCAGCAGGTCTGAGTTTACAGCCTGTTACTCCTCAGAGCCTCCAAGGCAAAACAGTGAGTTGGATTTTTATTTGGTACATCAGGTTTTTTTAAGAATAATCTTTTAAGTATGAAGAGGCAACACTGAAATTTTATTCTATTCAAAGCTTGCATTAAATGTAGCATTAATTTTAAATATCAGGGATTTTTAAAGCAGGTAAAAAGTACTCTGTGGTTCCATTGAATTCTGAGAATGTTGTGTGGCTGCTGAGTCAAGATTTTCTTTGAAAAATGCAGATTATATTTTAATCATTGTTGATACATTGCTGAAATTCCTGGGAAAGGGTAGAATACATCACAGAACACTTATTTCTCCATTAATTATTTAGAAAATCCTAGAAGTAAAGCTTGGCTTTTTTGAGCATCTGTAAGATAGTAAAAATTAGTTCTTTCTGACATCCTCCATTTTACTGTGGTGGAGCTGAAATTCTCATTGAAGGAATTTCATCAAAGTAATAATGGTGAATATTTTCTAATTGAAATGTGACTCTCAGCCAAAAGAGAAATTGCCCTAAATCGATATCATTTCTTTACCAGTTTTTGTCTCCTTTCCATAACCTTTCTTTGTCCATCTGCAAGTACTGATTGAAAGAGCTGTGAATTAAGAATACAGATTTTTTGGAGTCACACTGTGGGCAACAGCTCCCAGTCAATCCTTCCACTGCCTCAACCCCTGTTTCTTGCTCTTCTCAGCATGAATCTCTGGCACCTTCAGCATCTTCGGGGTTTGCCTTTGGCAGGTGGTGCCTTCCATCTCTAGAGATCCCTTAGGGTTCACAGGACCCTCAGCTCTCCTGGGCTCTGCTGCTGGAGCTGGGCTGGTGAGAGGGTAAGGGACAAGGAGGTCCAAGCTTCTCCTGTAGAAACCAGAAGTCCTGCCCACAGCACGAGTGTTGCAGTAGCCAGAGGAAGAAACCTGTAGGTAGCTCTGAAGCAAATTTTGTATTGTGGTTATTGCAAGAAACCCAAGAGCTGTATCCAATGCACAGCACTTGCAGCAGGATCAAAAATGTTTGCAACATTATGGATGTCTAGAGAGGAGTAGGAATTATTGTTTGGTGGGAAGGAATTTGCTTGCAAACATTGAATTTAAGTGCCATGAAATGGTTTGTTCCTAATACACCAAAACTGGGCTTTTAGAGAACATTCCAAGAGGAGTTTTGGGCTTGAAAAAGTGAATCATTGTTTCTTTTGCTTGAAGATGTTACTTTCAATTCTCCTCTTCCTAAAAATAAGATTTCTTGTGCTTTGAATTATCGTTAATTCTCAGGCTGAAAGCACTGTCACTGATTTTCAGGGAGATCTTGAGAATGCCTTGTGGACCAGTCTAGATTCTTATATTTACTCTCTGAAATTAAGTATTTTAAATCCAGGTATTGTAAAGAGTAGTGTAAGAATTAAAATTGCCAGTAGAGGATTTGGGTTTGGTTTGGTTTTTCCCTCAAAGGAAATGGTTTTGCCAACTGAAGCTATGTGGAAATCCTTTGCTCCCTCTTGTGGGCTCACAGCAGTGCCAGTGCAAGGCTTATTCTCAGGGATTTTTCCTCTTTATTCTAAGAAACTTTTATTCATTTTTCGGTATTTTTCATATGTGATTCTCTGGGGCTTTTTTTCTTCTCTGCTTTGGGGAAATTCTGTGGCTGTGGGAGAGAGCAAGCAGGGTTTGAGGGGGTTTTGTGTGTGGGTTTTATTCACCTCACAGAACCTGTGAGAAAAGCAAAGTGCTGGATGAATATTTAACTTCTTGTAAGATGGACTTCTGGAGAAGTGTAAGAATCAGCGGCAAGCAGGAACATAACACAAATAATTCTGATGTTAAGTGCTTTGTTTTCTTTGAAATGTTGCTAATAGCAATGGTTCCCAGGAATGGTTCAGGTAGAGCTTCCCAGGCTGATCTGGGTGGTATTACCTGACAAATACCCATTTGAGTGTGACTGTATTTCCATAATATATATATAATCTTGGGTTTTAAATACTATTCTTCATCCCTTCCCAAGGCTCTGTTGTACAGCTTAGTCATAAAGTAAAGCAATAAAATAACTGGTGGCCTCAGAGCTGTGGAAGGTGGGATGGAAAATTACTGTTGTCATGCTCGTGCAGTTGTATTTTGTGAAAGGTGATGGGTTCTAAGGTACTCCAGTTAACATGGGGTTTCCATTATTTTTGCTCTCAATTTCGATGCATACTTCTGAAAAATTATTTTAAGAACTAAATTTTCCTGAGGGCATGATTCTTTCACCGAGCTGAAATGGCTGTCCATGTACAGGTAATGACATCCTCAGGGCTGGAATTACCTCCCCCTTCGCTTAAGTCAATGTCATCAATTTGATATGCATGGCAGAAAAAGTTTGAGGACTGCACAGACTTCGGCCTGCATAATCCTCACTTAATTTTATCCTTTATACAGAACGTGTCACTCTTCCAGCATTTGCACTATCGACTGTTCTGAGCAGCAAAAGTTAACCCTTTATGAGAAATTCAGAAGTGGTCGAGTTGGGGGGAAATGGGGATTCTTCTGTTGTGTATCACTGTAGAGAGTTTTTGTAAGAAAGCTATTAAGAAGCCTTTAAGTGTTGTTTAGGATACCAATTAACCTTTTTTCTCCTCTTTGGCTTCTCACACTGCACTCCTTCAGCCAGAGGAGCTCACGCTGCTGCTCATAAAGCTGAGACGGCAGCAAGCCGAACTGAGTAGTATCCGGGAACACACACTAGCACAGCTCATGCAGCTAAAGCTTGAGGCCAACAGCCCAAAGGTCAGCTATAAAGCAATGTGTGTCATGTGCCATTCTCACTAACTCCTAGTCATTCATTAATCCAAGTTTGCTTTGTGCTCTTAGTGCAAAATTTTCTGACTACTATGCGAGTAGAGTTAGAGTAACATTGATTCTTTCTGTATGTGATGTTCTGCTATGAACCCTTTGAGGTTTGATGCAGAGCTTCTTTTTTAAAATAAGCCAAGTCAAAATTTAGTTATGTCTAAAGGTTTTTAATCTATTGGTATTACAAGCAAAACCAGTAGTGATAGATCATGAGATAAATTTATTGATTATACTGCCTCATATCAGACCCCGTCTTATTTGTAATATGGCTATGAAAAGCAAGACATGCTTAAAAGAGATTTATCCAAAGGGTTTATAGTTGTCTGTGTAGTAGCTATTTACAAGCTTTACTGTATTTTATGTGTAAACTCAAAATGTCATGTAGTAGTTCATAGCCTGAGTCGTGGCAAACTTTCATCACTTTCATTTCAGGACCAAAACTTGTTAACAGTTCACCGAAAAAAAAGCAGTTAAAAGCATGTTATATTTCTATATAAACCAGATCACTGTCTAGTTTCCATCTTTTAAAGCTCTTTTCATGCATTCTGCACCTTCTGTCCTTTTCCTTTCTCCCTCTGACTGCTGCCTGCTAGAATGAGATTCTTTCACATCACCTCCAAAGGAATGCCATATATTTGGATCACCAGGTGGGATTTGCGAGTTTCTTGTGCTTTTTCACTTCTTAATGCTTTTTGCCTGCTCCTATCAAGCTGGAAATATTTGGGGAGAAGGATTTTCAGTTCTTCTTACGAAGTTGGATGATGCCCATAGCATAGAATATCTTAATCAATTACAAATTTGGCATTTATGGGGAAAAAGCTCCCTCAGTTTAAAATCAGAACACAGTAGCCAGTCGCCAATAAGTTTTTCTGTTCTTAATATGTTCTTAATTTCCTTCTCAAAATAACACTAACTGTAGCATTTTACTTTCTTTAACCAAAGTCATAATCTGTTTCGAAGCTCATATGACACACATGCAATTGGTCAAAAATTGGTACTTCTGATAATTTCAGGTTTCCAAATTAAGATGATTTAGGTGTTTCTGTAGGACTTGAAGTGAAAGGCAGGTCAAACATGAAGAAATGTTTAAAACAAATCATAAAATTTTTCTCAGTTAATCCTCAAAGATTTCTATAAGAATAAGATTTTACTTCTTTACATTTTCTGATGGTGTATGGAGTGAGGCTACAGTTCTGTCTTCACTCAGAGACTTAATTTTCCCATTATCTCATGGAAACAAGGTGTGAATTATGACCAATTTGGTTTGATGACAATTCATTTCTAAACATTTCTGTCTTGCTTTACGTAAGGGGCTGCAGGAGGTCCAAAACAGTAGGGCAGAACCAAGACTAAATTAGACCAAAATAGTTTATCCTACTCAAATATTTCCAGTTTATAAAGGTTTGGAATAAGGGAGGAATTCTGTCTTCAACAATATAATTCATTGCCAAGAAAGGATAAGAGTGGATGTGAAGTGTAAAACTATGTACCATGCTGTTGCTTGGTTAGCCAAACTTGTGAGTATCACGGGATTAAATGGAGAGAATTGCCTATGTACAACATGCAAAGTGGTAAAAAGGATTTTCCTTTTCTTTGCATCAGATAAAATTTAGAAATGTCACGTGGTAAGCAGTGTCTAATCTTAGAGTTGTGCCATAATTAGCCCTACCAGAGATGCAAGGAATCACTGCACTTCTTAACATAAGGAATCATTATCAAGTCTAAAATGTATTACCTTAATCACGAAATCATGGACGAGCAGGTTGGAATACTCGTCCCAGTTTCTGATTAGTTTTTCATTTTTACTCTTGTTTTACAATACTGTCACCTACCTGTATGAAGGAAATAAATCCCCTTTTTGCTCTGAGTACCACTTCTTCTAGGGGTGGTATCTCATAGCATCTCATTACTTTGCCCATAATCAGTTTTCCTTGACATTGGGAAGAAAAAAACATAAAATCAAAGTTTCTTTTAGTCTAATTGAAGCTTTTCCTCTTTGTCACCTGCATCTGTAACCAGCTTGCATGGTCACTTGCCCTCTCTGAATTTAAAATATCCAGTGTAATTAAATTAGGTATTTCCACTTGTATTTAATCTCTGAAAATAGTGTCAAAACCTGCTTTGCTTAAGACATGTGGTGGGACTCCCATCCTCTTATCTTCCATTCCCACCCTTTTGGTCCCAAAGGATTCAGTACTGCCCACAACAATAAATAGTAAGTTTGTAGTGAGGTTGCAGAGGTGAATTCCAGGCAGACTCAAGTTCATGTGCAGGGAGGGTAACTTTTATACTGTTGGAACAAGTTGTTGTCTGCTGGTTAGGTGGTTTTCTTACCAAGAATATTCCTTCACCTTTTTGAAATCATGCTTTGTTTTTGTACTGTTTCCTTTGGAGATGCTTAGAAATTCTGATGTTATGCTTTCTGATGTTTTGCTATTATGCTTTCAGAATTTTTGTTGTTGTTGTTGTAGTTCAGAGATGGGGGAAAAAAAAGATCAAAGAGACTGGCACACATATATCCAGCCATAGGATTTCTTTGATGTCTTTTGATTGTCCAGCAGCCTTTTCTTTCTAAACCACCCTGCTGGCTCAAGGTTTGTGGAGAGCTGGGAGAGAGATTCATCTGCTGTTTAAGAAATAGTCCTATGGACATAGCTAGCAGCCCTAGGCAATGATGATTTGTTTGCCAGTGTGGGAATGTTATGAGTACACACAGAAATTATCTTCTGCATTATCAGATTTTAAAGGACACTTATTGTGTGTTCCTTAATCCAAGCCAGCAGTCTCCATTGATTTGTACTCAGTAATTACAGTAACAA